ACTTACTTACTTACTTACTTACTTACTTACTTACTTACTTACTTGTGTACTCACCTGCACGAAAATTTTGCGCAAATCTGCCGCAATCAGGAGTGCGCCGAGTCAAGACAAAAAACGCACTCGACTGATCGTCAGATTTGTGTACTTCTTGCGCAAGGATTTTGTGCACTCACCTGCACGCTAATCTTGCGCAAATCTGCTGCAAGCGGAACTGCCTCAAGTCAGAATGATAACGCACTTGACTGACCATCAGATTTGCGCACTTCTTACGCAAGAGTCTTGCTCACCCGTCGTGCATCAGAATTACGTTAGATCTTGGAAGCAGACTAGATGCAGACTTACACAATTTCGCTGTCAATGTAAATCTTGTGCAAGAAGTACGTTAGAATTGCAAAGACTGTGCTTATTATGTTTAAGCATGCTTATTATGTTTCACGCATGATCATACTCAAATATTTTACCTGTAATTATACGGTCAGCTAATTAATATACGTGACTGAAAATTTGATATTTAAAAAAAATGAGTTTAGACGTCTGACTAGAACTCAAATCTTTCGGGAAATTCGATTAATACACTATTTTAAAATTTAAACATATTTTAAGTAAAAAAAAAAATACCTTATTAAAATTCAAAATAATCATTTGTATAAATAAAAAACATATTAAACCTGCCTTTTTTCGCGACTTGCCTTTGACTATACTATCTTTACATATATATTATGTGTTTTTACGTACTTAAGAGCCTAAATATAGATCATACTATCTTAATTACTAAGTGTTTATTTAATGTAATATAGTTTATAAATTTTCGATTTGTAATTAGTGACCTCGAATATTTCTCAGTGAGATTTTGGTTTAGATTTAAGCACTTAATTAGATTTCTATCCACTATATTGGATCCGCCATCTTGAATTTAATGATTATGATAACGCATTTGTCATAAAATATCTTAGAGTAAAATATAAAATTATTTTTGCCTCATTTATTTCTGTAAAATGAATGACTTGTTCAATAAAATAATTATGTTTTTTAGCAGGTTTTGCTTATTTTTAACATTTGAGGTTATGTCAGTCGAATTTAATTTTGGAAATAAAAAATTAGCCATGACTGATGTCTTGTAAATAACTTAACCTTAAAAAATAAAAAAAAACTATCCAAATTGTTAAAAATTTGTGGTCTTTAAATAATTTTGAACCAAAAAAGTAAGTTTGGGTTCACTGTACGTCGGTACAGCTGCATTAAAAATAGCAGCAGCAGTATACTGGAGTCACACAGTGGTGCACGCAGTCTAATAGTTTTTGGAGCATAACAGTCATGGGCAGTAGCGTGTCTGTGCCAGCATGCCGGGTAGCAGCTGAGACTTTTTTGATAGGGGTGTGATAGGTACAGGCCAATATGTAAACTAACGTATGAGTGCAAATATTCCCAAATTTTGGAATGCTCCTATATAATGAAAAGTGCTGACATGAATTGAGCTTTCACGCCTTTAATCAAATAAGGTGTATGAATCAATTATTAAAGTATTTTTAATAAAAAATTTTCTTTGTGCTTTTTCATAGCGGATTTTATATTAAAAATGTAGATTTTGTGTAGTTGACAGCTTGTGTTACGTGAAAAAATATTGATATCTCTGAATTCCTTTGACGTTTTTATTACTATCAACTTGAAAAAGTTTGGAAGCAGCATTTATATTTTTTTAAATCATTATTTTTCAGGTAGCCAAAGTAAACATTGATGTGACTTAATTTTTTCCATTTGTCATTTTTTTACTGTAATGAAACTATGAACTATGATTTAAAAAAAAATAGTATACTGTTCGTGAAAATTATTGAGGTCAGAAGATTTTTCAAAATAGCTTTGTATTT